CTGGCATATGGGAATGCACCGGAAAAATAGAGTACTTAAAAGAATAACACATTAGTGTAACAGATTGATGCATGATAATTTGATAGTTTTTATAATATCCGATTGATAATGAAGTAATAACTAAGAATCGTTATAATAGTATATAATATATTATAGACTTACATAAAAATAGTATAGCCTAAGATCCTAATAATCATTAAATATTATTGGTTAACAAAAATTGATCCAACCGACCTAGAGTTCTAAACATCTATTTATGTATAAATTATTTAATGTTACATATATTTTTAATATAATTCTTTTTTTTCGGTGCACTGACCTACGAGTTGGATTTCATATGCATGCTTCAGTTCTCTGCCGCAACGTGAGAGAAGCCTGGAGAAGCGGCCCAACTCCCCGTCGGCAAAAGTGTCCCGTCCAATAAAATCTAATAACCACTTGGGGGCACCGTTCGCCCCTCCATTTTCCCTCCCCCCACCCTTTTTTTTCCTCTCGTCGGTGGAGTGCTGATGTCCCAATGGGTCCCATAACAGACCTTATAAGCAAGGTCTCTCTATTCACTTGCACGATTTTCGGCAGCTTTTCTTCTTCTGTATGATGACATTGGCACAAAGAAGCGGCGGCGGCGACTGCAATTCCAGAAATTTAGTTTTCCTGGCTTTATGATCGTTTGCCGGTTGTCAAAGGGCTTTTATGGGTGGGTGATTTTGGGAGGGGGGTGTTGCGTTGGAGACGAGGTGTCTGGAATACAGCTGTCAACACATGGGTGTACACAGATGGGGTAATTGGGGGTAGGTTTACTAAAGAAGAATTCGGGGAATTTTGTTTACCTGTTTACTGTCATCAGAAGTTTATTCCTTACTTATTTCTTACTACATAAATATTTATATCTAATTGAATTCTTAACGTTTTCTTTAAAACCTAAATTACTTAATTCCTGCAGACTTGTCTTTAAGACTCACAAAGAAAATCCTCGCTGAAAATGTAGATACCCATGTACAAATTCCATAACTCCCGCATTCCCTTTAGCGAAGAGTAAAAAAGCATGTCAGCCGCGTAACTTCCCTCCAGAAACCTATCACAAAACTAGACCCACTGAGGCAACAAAAATGCGAAAACGTTTACGAGATGGCACCTAATTAGGCAGAAGAACGCCGCCAGAAATTTACGTTTCCTTCGGTTCTGGCGCAGCTTTCAACTTCACAAACTGCTCAAACTATTCTTCAGACTTTTCAAATCCTACAACGCCGGCGACTAGCCCCAAAAAAATGAGTGAGATGTGCCCTTCTTACACAGTAAAAAAAAATGTTTTTTTTAACTGGATTTAATAAGATCAACTTATTGCTGCGCTATACTTTTTTTTAAAAACATTTCTTTAAAAGAAATTGAGAGTATAAGTTTATTGTTATGCAAATTTAATTTGCGAAATATATAAAATTTGTTTTAACTTGATTGTGTTTTTAATTTTAGACAAATCTTTTGTATATCCAAAAATGTTACACCCTTAAAAACTATTTTTTTTAAGGGAAATCAAACCAAAAATTGTTTCAGTGCATTTTTTTTGCGTACATCAGCGCTGAACAAACACGGATTCGTTACCATTGAGGTGCCGATGCGGCCGGCTTACAATTATTGGCGTAGTTACGACCGGACGGACAGTCACATACATCAATTCATAAAGCAAATGGTGCCGACAAACTAACTGGCCAACTGGAGTCAAAATGGCAGAGTGGCCAAATAACCAAATGACCAAATAGCCCAGCCGACAGCCCCCTGACATTTACATTCGCCCCCAAAAAAGACAACGCAACCGCCAAACAACCGAGATGTGAGATGGCCAAATAACTAAACACAGCCAGAGTCGAACAACCGACGACAACGAGAACGTTCCGCTTTTTTGCGTTGGTTCCGGGAAACGCAACAAAATTTCACAACGCACCAAAAAAATGTTTCCCTTCTTCGTGGCTGGCCATCATCATTTGCCCTCGCCCCATCATCGACAACACAACAACACCACAACAACATCACAACACCTTGACCAAAAGCAATAGCCAACTTCAAAGAATCTTCGGAACGGCCACGCCTCGAACACTAGACAACAACATTGTTGGATGGTGTTGTTGCTACACCAAAAGAAAAGGCTCCTAAATAGTTGGTAATTATTTACCTAAATATATTTTGATGGTTTTCTATATGTAAGTCATGTACCTATTGAATATTAAAGCAACAGAATAAAACAAAACAAAAACTTAATTCTTTAATATCTTTTAATTTAGAAACCAAATTTTGTACTGTTTATTTTAAATAAAAACTGTTTGAGTTAATTAAAAGACTACTTATTTCCCAAAATAGAAGGTAGTTTACACTTCCTATAGTTGATTATTTGAAGAAAAGAAAATTGTACGAGAAAATCGTTATTGCATTGATAAAAATTATAAATCTAGAATCTCTTTTGTCTGAGAAATAATATTGTTAATATTTGGGTTTTTATAAATTTCAGATTTTATTTATTTAAAATTTAATGTGATGATATAAGTGCATGTAATGGGCTTACCTAAAAAAATACAAAAATAACAAATTGTTTCTGTTTATAAATTTTTGAGAAGATTTTAAATGATTAATAATTTTTTATTTATATGTGTAAATTCTAAACTCTTTTCTCCGTGCAATGTTGCTGTTGTTCTAAGTGTTGCCGTTGTTACTATAAGTGTTGCAGATCGAAGGTGGAATGTTGCCGCGTTGTCGTTTGCCGTTGATGGGCTTATTAGAGTTAGTCAGAGTTTTTTCCTCATTTTTTTGCTGTTGTTGTTTTTTGTCTGGGGCGGTGCGGAAACCTCAAAGCGAATTTAGTGCGCTCCCGCCCCCCTCCGCACCGCCCCTTTTTCGGGGTTGTCCCCTCGCGTTTATGACGACAATGCGTTTGCTGTCATAATTATTAGTCAAACACAAACAATGAATTTCATAATTTTCCCATCAATACGGTCGACGTTCGTTCCTTCGTTCGTTGGTTCGTTGGTACGTAAACTCCAAACTCCAAACTCGAAACTCGAAAGCGTTCAAACATCCGCTCTTCCCGCACGCGCCGCTTGTGAAGAAATGTCCAACTCTTGAACCGGAGGATGAGCTGGATTTTACTATATAGTTTTGGGTTTGTGGGAAACTTAGGGGTTCGGAGGGAAAAAACTCTGGGGAGATGAAGCCGTCGCGCATAAAGTGTAAAATTGCCGGCAATTCGCAGAGACGCTCCATTCTGGACTCAAACACACGGCGTTTCTCGGTCTTTGGACACTGTTTAGAGCCTGGACTAATGGGAGATGTCAATACACTAAGGAAAATAGTTGAAAGTTAATTAAGTTTATGAAAAGAGTTTTTTTAATAGGTTAAAATCATACATATTTTGTAGCTTGAAGACCTGTATTTCAGAGCTTTTCCACATCTTAATTTTAAAGTTATCAATGTTTTTATATTGTTAGTCACAGAATATTTATTGATAAGTATTAGAAAACAGTTAAAGACCGGTTAAAAGAATTTTATAATATTTTTGAAACTCTGCTGTTTTAAATATGACTCTATATGTACTTGCATAATAAAACTAATTACAATTTTTTTAATGGAAATCTTTCGACTTTACAAAGTTAAAAAATCTTCAAGTTTCATTTAATTTTCAAGACTTTTGTTCCAGCCAAAATGATTTAGATATATTTTTGCAAGTGTGACTCGTACGTTTGTTCCATTGAATAGAACAATATCCGCGCAAATATTTGCAGAGAGCAGCAAGCAGGTCGTGTTAAAAATGTTTAACCACCTGAGGAGTGAGGAGTGAAGGCAGAGCTGGAGGAGCTGGAGGAGCTGGAGGAGCTGGCCACGACAAACAAACCAGAAACCTGGTCAAGAATCGGACTCAAACTGGGACTCAAAACGCGGACGCATCCATAATTGTTGTTTGATCGTTGTAATTGGTTTGGTGTAGCTGAAGCACAGGAAATGCAACAGAAACCGAGCCCGAAACCGAAACAGCAACGGCAACAGTAAAGGCCCCATAAAGACAACATTGCAGGCGGCTTTACATTGATCCGTTTAACGATTGACAAACGCGGCGATCGTTTTTTTTTTTTTTCGTTTTTTTTTTTCGGGAAGTCCGAAGTCCGAGAGTTAAAAAGAAACCAAAGGGGTAGGATGGTTATGGAAGGAAACGCGGTCGGCACTGGCTTTTGAACTGCACTGTATGTGTTTGTTGTCGTTATGGCCGCATCTTTTGTAGTCGATAATAAAAATTGTAAACTTTGTGGCAGTCTGGAGCTGGAGCTGGAGCTCCACCCTTCTTCTTCTGGAATGGACAGCCCACTTTTCGCTATAAAATCTCCAAGCTCTTTCAGCGGACACGCCCGGAAATATCTAGATGTGTTCCTGTGTGGGAATTGGGGTGGCCCAATAACTAATAATACTGTGAACCCATATGGGTGGTCCTTCGATAGCGCCTGCTCCACTTGTCAACCGACTTGTACGACATTGTTTGACTTGAAATGTGGAACGGAATGGAACAGCCTGGGAAAATAGTTCTTTGTTTTAGACACACTATTGTCACTCGTGTTTGTTGTCGAAAGGCTTGTTGGAAAGGTGCGCACCTTTAATGGTACATTAATTGCCCTTGTTGGCACTTCAGCGATAAACATCGGTACAAATATTTGATTTTAGTTTGCTACAAGTGGGTAAATAGTGTAAGTACAAGAGTGGAATCGAAGCGGTAGAATGGGTGAGAAAAAGGTTATGCGGTGGTGGAAATTTCAGAATATTAATTCAAGTAATTCTGTGGAAATTGAACTGGAAAAAGGATGTTAGACATTACAAAGAAAGATTTTAAAACCGACTTGAAAAAAATTACTAAGTTAAAAAATATACCAAGTCCTCATTTTATATTTTCTTATAATATTAAGAAGCTTATTGCCTTTCTGATTTGAAGTGGAGTCCAAGCTATAACTCTTCCCAAAAATACTTCACAGTTTCCTTTTAAGCTATTATCATTTATTCGATAGTCAATAAAAGTCCACAATTTTTACTTAATTTCTAAACATATCGCATGCCTTACACAAAGTCAAACTTTCCTGCTAAGCTTACGTCACAAATATCCATGGCTTAAATCAAAATTATAGAGACTAAACTTAGGCTAAACTAAATGATGTTTAGTAAGTACGATTACGATTACGATTACGAAATGGAGGGATTCGTATTCACGAGAGCCGCAAATGAGATTTCATTTTATTGAGTGGGGCGTTTAAGATCAATCGCTGACGGCCACCAAGTCCCTGGAGGAACCGGAAGTACTTGTAGAGTTTGTGGGTAATCCTAGATCAGAACTGGAACTTGAGCCGAATAAATCACCCACCACACTGCCCACACCGGCGGCTAAATTATGGGTGAGACTGTGGCGCCGCAGGTCGCAATTCCGCCGGAAAACTTTCCCGCAGGAGGCACAATTGTACGGCTTGATGTCCGTGTGGGTGAGCAGGTGGGTCTTCAGATTGGATCGCTGGTTGAAGGAGCGGTTGCACACGGGACACTTGTGCGGCGACTCCTCCATGTGGAGGATCTTGTGCACAGCCAGAGTTCGCGATTGACAGAATCCCTTGCCGCACTCGGCGCACTTGAAGGGCTTCTCCTTGGAGTGGATATATCTGTATAACATAAGGAATACAGGAGAAGAATGTGGGGTTAGTCAAATTTACAGATTTATTATTTAAAAAATGTGGAATATGCCTAATTGGTTGTTAAAAGAAAATTTATGACAGTATAAGCTTATAAAGGTATGCTATGCCTTTGGTTTATGTTTAAGATTTATTTTGACTCAGAGCTTAAGCTATGAAAGATATAAAGGGTTAAACTGTGTTCCTAAGTTATAGCTAGATGAACATAAACTTATCTTAGAAAAACATTGTCTTGCCACTAGTTGAGTCCAAAAGGAATGAATTGAATTGGATTTAAATGAACTGAATAAGAGCAGTAAAATTTCTATTATATTAATTATTAAATTATATTATATATGATTATATACCGAATTATATCATTTACAATTTTTTTTTTAAATTTTAAAAACACTATTGCAATTTAAAAATGTGCGTAAACTTTTCAAAGTATATAATTTATTTCATGCATATCATATCTTATCGTCATATCATATTATACCATACCATATAATATCATATGAAGTTCTCAGAACAGAACTAAAAAAAAATATTAATGCTGATTAATGAATGGTTAACTATAAATGTCGAAAGCAATCTTGAAGTATTTGATGCATATCATATCATATCATCATTACAATTTATTATACAAAATACAAAACAGATTTAATAAAAAATGTGTATATCGCAAATTATTGATTCGACAATTTAGAATAACATTTATTTTGAAATTGTTATTTCGTTTTGTTGTAAAAAAATTATTTATGCCTAATGCTTGAGTTAAGATCCCGACCTACCTATGATCCCTCAGATGGTCCTGCCGCCTGAAGGCCTTGCCGCAGATGTCGCAGGAGTAGGGCCTCTCGTCGGTGTGCGTTCTTTCGTGGATGAGCAGATTGTAGGACTTGGTGAACTGTCGGTTGCAGAACTTGCAGATGAATTGTTTCTTGGACCGCTGAGCGGCCGCTGCCGCCGCCGCTGCTGTCGTCGAGCTGCCTGCCTCCTCCACGCCCCCCACCGCTCCTGCCCCGCCTCCTGCCGCCCCCGAAATAACGTTCATCTTGTCCTGATACATGGTGGCCTGTAGGGAGTGCAAGGCCGAATCCGTTTCCGCTTGGCTAAACGCCGATGGATTGAACATAAAGCTACCATAGCTGCTGTCCAAGTCGCCAGCCTCGAAGGATAATGCATCCTCGCCATCCAACAGCGGTAGATCGCATTCTGCTGCCAATTCTGCGGCTGTTGCGCAATCGAGTGCCGCCTGATGATTTGCTGCAGCTGCTGCAGCAGCCGCAACAGCAGCAGCAGCACTTACGGTGCCAATCGATGGCAGGGGCAGACACTTTGATGTCGCTGCCGAAGAGTTGATGGTGTTGCTGCTAGGCGAAGATGTTGCTGCCGTGCCAGTTGATGTTGCTGCTGTCGCCGACAAAGGGGGTTCCCCCGAGGAACTCGATGAACAACTCGACTTGAGTTCTATATTGGCTATATCTATCAGCGAGGGCAAGGCGTTGTTCTCCGTTTCACTGTTGCTGTTGCAGGTTGCAGTGTTGTTGCTATTGCTGCTGCTGTTGCTAGTGTTGCTATTGCTGGAAAAGCGAAACACATCCGACTTGCCAGTGAGTCGCTGCAATGCCAAATAGGATTCCAAAGCCTGGAGATTCAGGGCAGCTGCTGCCGCCGAATTTGCCGGCAATAGGGCAGCCTGTTGCAAACTACTGACCATGGTGCCTTGCAGCGAAAGGACAACTGCTGCAGCCGCTGCAAGATCGTTTGTTGCTGCTGCCGCCGTTGCTGTTGCAGCTGCCATGGCAGCACTGCTGGTCTTACTGGCAATCGGCGATGTTGCCGGCGTGCACTTGCTGTTGCTGTTGCAACTCTCGCTTTTCTTATTAGTGGGTGTTGCTGTGGGCTTGCTGTTGCTGTTGTGCTTGGACGATGTTGCTGCGGTGCTGGCTGGTGTTGCTGCTGTTGTGCCTGCCTCCAGATCGCTTAGCGCCTCGGCAATATCACTGGTTGTTGTTGCTGTTGCTGTTGGTGATGTTGCTGCTTTGGCCGGCATATTGCTGCAAGTTGCAGCTGCAGCAGCAGCAGCAGCAGCAGCAGCAGCGGCAGCAGCAGCGGCACTCAAATGCTTAACTGCCTCCATAAAAAAGTCGAATCCACGCACACACTCAGCTGGATATCGGGGGATAAGGCCTCGGGGCCGAGATGTTGCTGGTTGCTGCGGTGATTTTGTTGTATTTTTTATTGTTTGGCGCACCTACGCAGGTTGGAGAGGTTCGGAGCGCGTCCACATGAATATTAAAAACCACACGCCATCATAAATCACGTCTTAGTCACGCTTTCAAAAGTCATAAAAATCGAATTTGACGTCTGGCCAAAAACGAAAACAACAACAAGAAATGCAGTCTTAGCCAGGTTAACTTAAATTGGCAGGCACGCTTTTTCGTTTTTTGTTTTTTTGTTTGTTTTGTATTAAATTTAGTAAGCTTGGCACACGCGAAATATTAAGCAAAACTATCTTTGATGATCTTTAGTTTCTATAATTTAATTTCCATTTCCGTTTAATCAGACTTCCGGTCTAGAGACACACACGTGTAAATGTATACATATATATGTATATATAACTTTTTGTTTATTTTCTCTGATTCTCCAGCTTCTTCTTCTTCTTCTCTTGACGTCGATCAGCCGTCGCTGCACACAATATTGGTAAAAGATCTCGAATAACTAAAAGTCCATTGCTCTGCGGACATGTCGCGGACCTGCGCTCCCACTTCTCGATCGCCATGACTCTCTCACCGAAGTAATGCCTCTCTGCGAGAGCAAACAAGAGCATTGCCTGCAAGATCACCTACGAAAAAGAGTGTGCAGAGAGCGGAGAAATTTATTTTGGCCAGGTGCAAACACGTTTTGTCAGTGTATTTTGAGCACCTTTTTGTGCTCCCTCTCACCCACACTACCTCAAAATCTGAGACAGAGAGCGAGTTCAAAGTGAGGGAGAGAGAGAACCGGTTTCTGCGATTTTTGAGTGGGTGTTCTTCCCGCCCGCTCGTTCCATCTCCCTCTGTTCTTCTCTAGCCATCTCCTTCTGGCTTGATTATTTACGTTTATTTTTATAATTTTTGCAATCAGTCGCTTATGATGTTTCCTAGGAAATTTCACAGGCTTTTTAGGGTTTTCGCAATGTACTTGTGACCTTGGTAACTGAAGAATTTTCACAGCTAACACTATAAAAGGCTTAAATAAACAGGTATAGTCGCATTTACAGCTTAAACTAAAAATATACAAATTGTCAATAAGAAGAAAAAACCCTTCCTGTCTAATTACTTGTTGTTAAATTGTTAGTGTACTAATATATTAATTTATAAAATATTTATTTGTTTATAAAGTAAATTTATCTAAAAAGCTTATCCAACAAAATCTAAGATGTTCGAGTTTTAGAAAGAATTATAATATGGAAGATTATTCCAGTATTGATCCTTAAAGCCACAATTTTATGAAAACTGCCATTGAACTTCCTTGTCATCCCCAAAATGACTAAATTCTCCAGAATCAAAAATGATCGGTGATCATGAAAGAGAAAGAAAGTGTGTCTAAAGGATTGTGATGGCCTGATAAGAAAATAAGAACCAGCTGTTTTCCAAACTATAAAAGCCGCCGTAAAATTCCTAGTAAGAAATATGGAACAATGGTTTTTAATCTATTAAATATTAAGGATCTTTAAAGTCGTTTGATTGGTGACCAAAAAGAAAGGAACAGAGGTTCCTGGAATTCGCTCTCAATAAGATCCAAGATTTTCTTCTAGTGCATCAACCTGCTAGAACTTGCAAATTGTGGCCATTAGTCAACGCGTTGATTTCTTCAGCCCCAAGCGAAGCCAGTTGATTGAAATGATTCTCCTCGCACGCCATTACCTAAAAGAAATCGCAGAGGAAAGAGCGAGAGAAGAATTCTGCTGGCAGAAGAATCCAAACCCAATCACAATTCGAATCCCAAGCGCAATCATAGCTGAGACTTTTCAACTGTCAATTATTTCCTTATTCTTTATGCACAAAAATCTAAAAAAAAAAAGGGGAACTGGATTTTAATGCGCTAAACGGCGCAAGTAAATGACCAATAATCATGGGAGCTGCCAGCTCTCCGGCTGCCGGTTTGCTGGATACAAAAATAACACAGTCCACAGTCCAGAGTGCAATTTATTTTTGCATTAAATTGCAATTTGGCCGGTACGGGACGGGACTGGCTGTTTTCTACCATTTATACAGATATTATCGTGATTAATAATGCACAAACATGTCATACGCTCGTTTCGTGTGTGTTTGATTGGAGCGCATTAGGATGGCAGCATTTAATGATCCGGGAGTCTGGAATCTGGAATCTGGCATCTCGACTCTTCAGTCTTCAGTCTAGAGTCTTGAGTCTCACGGTAGCAATTATGTCGCTTAGTGGTCGGCTTACGGATTATGATGATGATCATCATATTATTATCATCCTGAATGGCGGCGCCATCAAAAGATTGCGCACATTCCAAGGTAAACGTAAACTCCGTCGTATTGACACAAGCTTCCTTTAAATGAAAAACCCTGGCTTAATGTCGTTATATTTTGATAGTCGCGCTTTTAAATGCTCGTTTCCTGTGCCGCCTCGATCGGTCCTCTTCAGGGACACGATCATCGATTGCCAGGCTCCATGGCCAGGTCCCCAATCCCATGCCATCCCATCCCAACCCAAGTATCGTTGTCTGTCTCAAGGCAAATGGTACATGATTTCAAATTTCAAGTACCAGTTTACATAAGATCGCACAGGCTAAAGCTAGCTGCACTTGCCAAAATGGGTTTCGAGAATTTTTGGGAAATTTTAATTATCTTTACCAGAAGATATTATTATCTCAAATCTCCGAAAAAATTGTAAATTATCTTTTAATTAGATACAAGAATTTATTATCTTATTTTAATATTTTTTTTAACAGTATTTGACTATAAAATATATGTATTTTGTAGAAACAAAATTAAATTTAGTTTCATGTCTTAACAAATATTTCTTGTAATTTTCTCACAGCTTGGCACATATATTTTTCTGGGTTACTAAATTTTCAAAAGTGTATGGAAAAAGGGAGAAACCAGTCCCTTCTGCTCCTGCTCCTGCCTATCCTATCCTTGCCTTTCCTTTTGGGTTCCTTTTTCCCCGTCCAAGTTGGGTTGGGCGATCCGAGGGAATGCCTTGAAGCCTCACAACCATCTGTCACAAGGTCCCAGTTTCAGTTCCAGTCGAAGTGGAAGTCGAAGTCGAAGACGAAGTGGAAGTCGCAGTCTTCATCTCCATCTCCAGTCGAATAAGAATGCGCTAAACTTGATTCCTTCGAAGCGAGCGCCGAGTGCGCATGCGTGGGCTGGAATTACATGATCACGATCAGCGATAAAACTTGATGTTGTACATAGCAGGCGACATGGAAGCGGGAAGGGATCGGGATTTGGATCCGGATCATCGCAGAGCCGAGAATCAGAATGAGAATGAGAGGATCGGTTGGGATCGATCCATCGCCTCGTACAAAATGTCGCAAAAGTCGTACAAATCTACACAGAGCTTCAAGATCGCAGCCAGGTTCACTTCAACAGCCAGCTGGAACAACGGGACACCGACAAACGATTCCAAATGCACTTAAAAAAATGTAAATATAATTTTACTTCCATAGTTACATTTAAATAATCTTATCACTAACAACCATTATTTTAAAAGTGGTTTAAAAACATATAGTCTATGGTAACTATTGATTTCATTATTAATTTAAAAAAAAACAAACGCAACAGTTTAAAATTTGATTTCGTATTTTTTTACCAAAAAACATTTATTTGGAACTTACTCAAATTTTTTCCAATATGTACATCAGACATATAAAAGAATAGGCCCTCTTAAACTTACTTAACTAAACTTGCATCTTTTTATGAAATTCCTCAGTGTGTACTTAAATTTCTTAATATTTCATTACAACATATTTATGTACCAATTTTTTCCCCCTGTGTAAGGATCCTCGTTGTCTTTGGGCCTTTGTCGATCGCCCCGCGTCGTGTCAAATTATTGATTGCTGTCTTTTAATTTGATTTTGATTTTTCCACCGACTCTTGTCATCTTTCCGATCGCAAACGATGGCTGGATGCGAAAGGGGGCAGAATTATTAATCTGCTGCTTTGATTTGAAGCGACACACCACGATCGTGACAAAGAAAAGTAAAAGTCATAACACACATCTAGGGCTGCGATAAGATCGCCAAGATCACCAGCTTAACACCGATCATCTGGTCTATTGTTTTGGAGTGACTGTTTTTTTGTTTTTCTGATATTTTATTGGAACTGAGTAATTATGAGGGGCGTACTTTTTGGGTGCCTCAGTTTCTTTTTTCTTTTTTTTTTTTGGGATTCCCTAGAAACAGACGGCAGCTCATTAGCCGCAGGCGTTGCCGCTGATTGGACCAACTATAATCCCTGACAGTGAGATTAGGCCCAGGATTTCTGGGGAAAACCCGAAAAAAGACAGGCGGTAGTCGATATTTTTGTGGTTAGATGTCGGCTATTGCTTTTTACTTTTTTTTTTTATTCCCTCACTTTTGACGCAGATCTCTTATCGCGATTTACGTGAGGAATTGACATATCTACTTGGTAATTTGATCTATTGAAAAGACCTCGCTGTTTGTTGTCTTTTTGGCCGAAGGTTACATTGCCTGCGACAAACAACCATCGACAATCGACAATCGGGGAATCATAATTACAATGGATTAGGAAATATTAATATTTCCTTTCATCTTTGCCGTAGGTCAAGACCCATCGTATTTGTTTTTTTTTTTTTTTTTGTTTTTGGGAGTACTTGAAATCTTTTCGTTTATTGACGTTGTTCTTGAGCAGGCAAACAACAAATGAGTTGGCGCATGGCCAAAGATCATCGGCAAATAAGTGTGGTTCTTATTTTGGTTTTTAGGGAGGGGTAAGAGAAAATGGTAGAATGTGGTATAAACTGGGATAATTATTTGGGAGGGTCTTTAATGTGGGTTCGGCTGGGTTTTGGGATTGATCTTAGGTTCCTTTTACGATCAGACTTGTGAAATTGTTGTGTACTAGAGGTTGTAAAAGGTGCCTACAATCCAATCGTTAATGCATCTGCCAAAAAGGTTTATAAATGTATTTAAGAAAATAAAATAACAACTGTAAATAAAAATAAAATTAAAATTTATATTTTAAGTTTATTTAATTGGCAATACAGAATTGATTAAAATACTTTAAAGGTACCTTTATTTTCTTTCCATAAATTTCCTTTTATTTCGTCTGGCGCCACACACAAATTTAACAATGCAATATTTTCGAAATTTCTGCAATGTTTGTTAATTTCCGAATTGTTTGGGCCACGTCCAAAGTGATTATGCATCACACTCGGCTCGTATTCCCACACCCAATCCAATGCCAATTCCGAGCCGACAACAGTGCGAATGTGAAATGTTTCCATCCCCCCCCCAAAAAAAAACATTCCGCGAATGATTTGCATGCCTCTGGAGATCCGATCGGAACCGATCCAAAACCGAGTTTTTTTTTCGACCAAAGAACGGACCGAACCGGGCCAATCAAATCGAAACCATCTGGCTGAGGCGTTCGTGGGAATCAGTTCAATACAATTTGCATGCACAAATACTCAAACTCCACTCCGGAGAGTGTGGTTTGAAGTCAAAGATCTGGGGTCGAGGGGC